CTTCCCTGCCTCTTCCCTCCACGGTGTTCCTCAGTCCTCCCCAGCAGCAGGAAGCCCTAATGCCAGTCCCCAGACTCGTGTGACCTCCTATAACACAATCACCTGGCGGGTTTATAAAAAATACAGGCTCACGAGCCTCGCCCCTTTGGCGGCCAGGGTGAGGGTGTGCGTGTATTTAAAAATCTTTCCAGACAATAGCCAGCTGTTTAGGGAACGTCACAGACTCTCGTCCATTAATGCTTTGCTGTACATTTCATACTTTGACTCCTTAGATCTCATTAAACTTAAAAAAAAAACTCTTGGTTTTTAAAAAATTAGTGTTTTACCACTTTTTGATTTGAAGACTAATAAATGTACTCTGTGGCTGCCATAATAATTCTGGGACTCTGAAAGATTTAATTGAAATCACATTCTTAAAGTACCAACATAATAACATTCATTCAAATTCTAAATTTTGAAGGGAAAAGAGGAGCTAAAAATTAAAGCACAGTGTTTAGATGTTAAAGCAAAGGCTTACGTTTAATTGCAAAAATAAAAACTCTACTTAAGCCTTTGAAATCCTTTTTGCCTTGTCTTTCAATAACATGACTTTTCAAATCATAGCTATTATTTTAAAACCTAATTGTCCAAAATCCAAAGGGCTAAACTCTTAGTTAACACAAACCACTCACAGCCCTTCGGGCACATGGACCCACGATAACTGGGGCTTGACGCGTGGAGAAGTTTCTGCCCCTTCTCTTTGACGTGTGAATGCACCATCTCCATCACTGTGTTTCCCCATCAGTGGCTCCTAACCCATCAGAACTGCGTCATGCTGGCTTCAGAGGAGACTGATACAGAAAAAGTGCCTGGCTGGCAAATGGCAACAGGGGAAATGAATTACAAATATACCTCACTAAAGAAGAGCTGCTGGAAGGTGTGTGTGTGGCGGGGAAGGTGCGCAAAAGACACAGATACAAGCGCCTACGTGTATCCAAGACTGGATCCACTGGGGTCTGGAAGTGCAGACGTTTCCAAGCAGAGCAAGACCACTGGTCAGACTTTCACAAAACATTCAGCCACATCAACATCAATCATTAGGCTGCAACGGATCAAGTTACCTTATGGTTAAGACTTCCTGGAATTTATTCACCTCTTTAGAGAGTGGCTAAGATTCAAAAGTAATGAGAATTAAAATTCCTAATCTCCTGCTTCTTAGTATTTAAAACTAACTTCAGTTATCCCAGCTTTTGGTGTAAGAATTCCAATGTAGGTCTCCAGACTCAAGGTTGTGATATTCAGTATAAAAATAGACAAGAGAAATGAGACTACAAATTGACTTATTTTTGCTCATTAAAAGAAAAAACAAACTAAGAAGTCTGAGAACTTGCTTCCGTCTGATGTTCAATCAGTTCACTGGGGAGTAGTCTTTCAGGGACAGAAGAGGACGACAGACATCGCTTGTATCAGCAAGCAACACGCAGGTATGTGCATTTACCTGGGTAAAAATGCCCACTTGTGTTTCTGCTCTTGCACTCAGAATCCTTACTTTAACAGCCACACTCCAGTCTCAAGAATGCAAAATGCTAAAGTGCTATTATTGGTGGGCAACTGAAGGGTGAAAAGGACAGAAATTCAAACCCAAGTGTGTGCCATCAAGTAAACCTTCACTTCATCGCACGAAGTGTGTGGTCCCAGAAGCAAACAACCTGGTGACGTGCAGGAGTCTGAGGGAGGGAGCACAGCGCTCACTGCTGTTCAGGAGCAACAAAGGCTGAGCTAACGAAAACCAGTCCAGACCTCGACACGAGAAGTAGGACCTCCAGCAAGACACTGTTAATATTTGCCTTCTAATAGTAGAACTGCCTTTAGACGTGGGGGAGAACTAAAATTAAGAGTTTTTTTTTTTTAAAAAGAGAAAACCTACAGGGACAGCACTAAGCAGAAAGGAGAGCAGCAGGCGCAGGAGACGGGCCCTGGGGTCGCCCTGCCCTGCCCGTCACTGACTAAGTGACCCAGAGCAGGCAGTGTCGTAGGTCTTGGTTTCCTTCACCGTAAAACTGAGGGGTGGAGACGATGACATCTACAATCCTTCCAGTTCTAAAATTCTATTATTTTACAATTGAAACTCTATACTCTCTTGGAACCTACTCTTATGAAAATATTGTTATCTTAAAGATCTGCACCAGGACTTTGATACAAACCATCTCAAGTCCCTGAAGACTTGATGAAAGCTGGTATATAGGAGGTACTGGGGGTGGCTGACTTTGAGAAACCAAAATCTGTCATGGCCTAAAGATCTAAGGTTTGTCAGGCTTCTGTAAGTTCCCTGAAGTCATGCATCATCCTTGGAGTTTATTTCCAAGAAATACATGGACAATGCTGAAATATCCAAATCCACAGATCAGCTGTATTGGGCAGAGATGTCAATTTTTGGATAACAAGTATGTATGGGGGATTGGGGGTTCTGGACAGACATTACATATAAATGGTTAATTTCAAATTACTAAATCGTATTACTCAGCTAATCTAGTGCCTGAACCATAAGATTCATCCCATTCTATTGCAGATCATCTGATAATCAAAATGAGGGATTCCCTGGCTCAAAAGGTGAAAAAGAAAAAACAAGTCACCCATATGCTCCATATTTATTCAAGAAGCAGTTTTACTCTCACAGTGCCGCTTTTTTTTTTTTAATGAGTTAGTAGAACAGCTTCCAATCAGTTAAACCTGTGTGTTTTCCCTCTGCACCATCTCACACAACTGGCTGAGAAAGCCTGACGCAGACGGCCACAACCCTTCCTTTCTGCGGGGAGCTTTATGCTTCTGTCTAACTGCGTGCACGCGCACGCGCACGCACACACACACTCTCACTCACTCACTCCTTCATCACTAATTTGTCTTTTTCAGATTCTTTCATAGGCTCTAGGCTCTTTAGGATTCTGACTGGAGAAAAGAAGTCATTCCAACAAATTCTGTGAATACTGTGTTTCTGAAAGGCTTGAGGCCCTTCTTCGTGAGAAACTGCCCTTCAGTAGTAAACTGGCTTTTCAGGTTTTAAAGCCAACCCAACTTTAACCTGGCAGAGGTATCAATGGGGAAAGAAAACAAAAACAAAAGCAAAAACAAGTTTGCTGCAATGAGCTGAGCTGTTAAGCAAAAGCATGTTGAAAATCAAATTTCTTAACCCATAGCACTAAAACATGAACAGCACATGTTTTCTCACATTCAAGCTTCTGCTTAAAAAAAAAGGGGGCACAACAGGTTATGTATATTGCAGAATACAAAGGAAGGAAGACTTAAAATTGGAATAAATAAATAAAACGTTCTTTTCTTTCTCTTTTAGAAAGAATAGTGTAGACACATACGGCAAAATTCAGAGCTGACAGGGATGGAGCTGCAAGGATGCGCTGTTGCCAAGTGTGCGTCATGAGAGTTACACAGAACCACTCCAACATCTTCCTTTTCCTTATCCTTAATTAAGGAGGAGGCGGTGTATTCTAGGGAAGCTATCTGGATGCTGCTGGCCGAAATGCAGATTGGATCTTCTCATGCTGGTTAGCTAACATTGATTTTCTGCCCCAGTGGAAGAGATTTTACTCTGATGCATGCCATTTAAATTCATTTTACACAGCTGCTTAATGTGGTTTGGCAAGGCACAGCCAAACTAGCTTTGTGGGTCTGAATAGGACTCCTGAGTTGGTAAAGGACAGATCCTATGGATTAGCAGCTGATGATAAATGCTTTTCTCTCCTGACGGTTATCTTCCCACTAACTCATGAAGTGACCTTGAAGCTACTACAAGAAAGGAAAAAGAAGAAAAGATAATTTCTCCGAAATAAGTATGTTTCTCTAATTCTATGTTTATTTCACTTTTAGGATTATGTTTACAGAATTCTGTATTTGTTGGTCCACATTTAGGACCATGTTTACAGGATTTAGAACTCTCAATTGCAAAATTATCATTTGCTCTTGCTGCCTAAATAAATGTATACTGGATATAAAACTACTGAAAAGCTCTTTGCGTCAGGCACTCAGAACAAGCAATGAAAGCGTCATTCTGTAAGTTCCGGCTTTAAACAGGGCTGGTTGACCATTCCGTTTTATTTTACAAAAATGTGGTATGTTTCTACTGAAACAACTCGTGAACATGATTCCATCTGTGTGAGATAATCTTATCATTTCTATACGCAAAATGGTAATCAATAGAAACATTTTTGCTTAGAAAATCACTCAATAATAACATACTTTGAGACTATTTACTAACCTAAAGCCTGTTACATAGGTTTTGTAGTAGGAAAGAAGAGAGAGACTTTTTGTTGCTGTATGTAATTCCTGTGTTGAAATCGATAATAATATGGTAACATTGTGCTTAGAAAGAAAATTTTGTTAGACTGTTTGGTTGTATTTTCCTGGTGACTTCAATATTCTAAACCTCCTTGGGAGAAGGAAGTAACAGAAATCTTTGGTATGGATGTTTGCTCAGTGATGATGTAATGAAACCCTCGACCGTCCTATTAATCACCTGCGCCCTGCCTCCTGCAGCCGGGCTCGCGTCAGCGAGGCCGCTGTCGTGGCAGGAATGACAAAAACACAGGCATGATAACGGTGCTGCACAACACAAGTTCCCAGACAACACAACGACAACAATGGGGGACGTGACGTGGGGGGAGGCGGCTTCATTACTTTTACGTAGATAAAAGTCTCCGTTTCCCTGTCAGGCATGAAGGGAAGAAGCCATGCCGAAGCCATGCAGAGACAGGACCTGGGGGACCGCATGCAGGCTTCCACCAGCTACCAAGTACCGCCGGTGAGGATGAGAAACGGAACAGAACAGAACAAACGAAAAACCCGAAACAAACAAAAACCAACAAAAGACAAGCCCCTCTGAGACGGATTTCCTTTTAGGTCTCTCACTCTCTTGCTTTTGGGTGTTCCTCTCGCAGCCAGATGGCACGTTCATTAACAGTTAAAAAAAAACGCCCAGGTCCCGCAGCAAGTCAGGGTGTGTTGCTACCTACCCGTACTGGTCAGGCTGGTGCATCATGGGAGCCTGAGAGTTGCCATAGTTGGGGTGCTGGGAAGAAAACATGGGGCGTCCGCCAGCCCCAGACTGGCTGGGATAAGCAGGCGACCTAATGTATGGTGGCCTAAAGTAGAACAGAAGAACAGCTTCTTTGGATTTGTTCTGCAGACAAGTATGAATCCCCCTGTCCACCATGTTATTTCCACACATAGGTGTGGAGGTTCCAGAACGTGGCATAACACCCTGTACCATGTAGCTACTGGGAGTGGAGCCGGGAAGTAATCCTTAAAAAAAAAGGGGGGGAGACAGGGCCAAGGAGAGCGAAAAGATTCCCAGATCTGATCTCAGTTTTAAAGTTCTGAAGCATAGCTCTGACTTTGGGAAAAGCCAAAAAATAAACAGTCTCCATTTAAACTCCCGGAGAGCTCTGATGGGCGGTGTGTGAAGGCAGGCTTTGGGATGGTTACTGATTCAAAACGGAAAATGCACGGATGTGTACTTGTATATTCATTTATATAAAATTATATATAAACTGATTCAGAAAGGGAGCACAGCAAGGCTTTTTAATCAAACAATTATGCCTTAATCTCTACGGTTATCTTCTTCCCAGATCACTATCTAAGGCTTCATGTCAAATGCAATCAAGTACTTTCTACTTAAAAAAGGAAATAACTTGTGCTTTATGAGTTACGACAATGGACAATTCGTTTAAACCTAAATTAGAACTTGAACTGGACCAGCCGAACCAGTCCTCAGAGATAGGTTTATTAAAATATTCTTTCCACAGCCTGCATAGGTCCATTTCAGAGGTATACTGCTGGGGTTCAAAAGACTCTAAGTAACTGCAATGCGGATGAGAGAGACAGAGAGAGGATGTGACTGATTTTCATTTGGATTCCTCAAGGGAAATTTATTTTATTATTATTTGGAGCTAACAGTGAGACTGGAGGGTCCCTAACATTCCCACACAGCAGCTTCAGAGGAAAAGTAACAAAGGGATACATTTACACACACACACACACACACACACACACACTAGCTTTCATTTCTCTTTGACAAAAATCAGAATTTTCTATCTTTTCTTCTGAAGATACCATATTTTCATACATATCTTTCAATGTCCTTTGTTTTAAAACATATCTTAACATATGTTAAACATAATTCAAACATCTTTTTACATGTGCTTCTTTTAAAACATACTCACTTTGCCTCATAAATTTTAAATTCAGTCATTTTTATACAGGTCAAGTATTTACTTCAAGAATTAATTTTAAAATTCAGTATTAAAAACAATTAAGGAATTCAGGCTAAAGCCTTGCTTGCTCTATCAACTTCAACTTTCTGAAATATAATCTTTGCTTTATTAGCCACCTTTTGGTTTGGACAGAGAGGTATGCCCAGAAAAGTAAAATACAACATAAGAACATGAAGTAATAAACCTCACATATATACACTTAGACAAACACACACAATACACATGTGCACACACAAAGTTTCTATTTCAAAAAGATTTTTATAGTGGGGTAAAAAGAAGGGAGAAGTTCTTTTTGAATGTTTTAGATTTCAGCCAGTTTTTAGGCTTCAGAATTTGCTGCCTAAACCTGGCTGTGGGCAATGGAACCACGCAGACACCCATGTGCCACTGGCTCTGGGTCGCTTGGTGCGCGGACTGTTCACAGCCGTTTCAGACAAGCCCCACAACTGACCCGCCCACCACTCAGACTCCTTCCTTGATGTCTCAGAGAACACGGTCTGTCATTTACTTCTCTGATCTTTATGGTACAGAATATATTTAACACAAAAGGAACGGTCAGGCAAAATGACACTCTGCGGCTCTCCACCCCCACGTGACCCGGGGGTGACACAGCTCTGGGCTCAGCGCGTGCGCATACGTCCACACACAGACCGCCCGCCCGACGGCATACCTGCTCTGTGCCGAGTTTGCAGCGGCCTGCATCACTGCGGCAGCTGCCTCCTGTGCCTTACGGTTCACGGTTGGCATTGGTGGCCCCATTCCTGGCCCTCCCTGCTGAGACATGCCAGGAGAACTGGGGGTCATGCTGCTCATATTTCCAGGAAACGGTCTGTTCTGCATCGCAGCTGATGGCATTCGTCCCAGGGGCATAGCACCACATGGCTGGCTTGGCCCTTGTCCATGCATCTGGTTGTTGGCATTGATGCCCATGCCGGGCCCTGGGCTGCTGTAGCTTGCACTGGGCACCCCACTATACGTTGGGGGTCTGGAGTAGTTACCTAAACAAAAATCAAACACAAATTAAAGCCTTTTACTTAATATTTGAACTCGTGAAAACATTCACTGGAAATACTTTTTATCCAACAATGTGATCGACACAGAATATTAGTCATTATCCTTATTAACCCTTCCCCTATTGGCGCTGATGAGGTTGGCAGTCTCAAAAAACGCTCTCTCTGCACATTCCAACGGCAAGAGCCACACAGGACCACTGCAACACGGAGGGAAATCCAGATCGATCAATGAAACCATCTATGAGCGGACAAGGGAGGCTAGTCTGGAGTGCTGCTTCAGCACATCCAACACCTCATATTCTTACCAAATTTAACCAAAACAATTATTTCAGCCCCTAGTCCCTAGGTGAGCACCAATTTGAGACTGCACCACTGCCTCACTACCACACTGGACAGTTAGGACAAAGAGTTCAGAAGACAAGGGGTAAGAAACCATGCACACACGGTCAAGACCATGCTTCAAAATCCCCCAGGGGGTGTCATGTGGAAACTCGACATTAGTCCAGCACAGTTGGCTCTTCTTCGGGGTCTGGAAGACGTGTTTTCCTTGAGCACCAGATAAAGTGGCTGGTTTGTACCTGGTGCCGTGTCTTAGAAAATGCAGCCTCAACACTGCATGGCACTCAGCACTGCGAGGTGGTGGCACCACTGGGAGCAGGGAAGGCTGGAGGCTGAGATGAGCGTCCGCCATCCCACCTCCCACCCCTGCTGACACGGGGGCTCAGGCTCACGAAGTAGAATGGGCCGGACTATTTCAATAGTTTTGTTTTCTCTCTCCTTCCACATCTTTTATTTTGATTGAGTTTACATAAATTACATTCAAGTAAATTAAAGGTATATATAATGCTACTTTGATAATAATAACAACTGCTGAACCATATTATGTATGAGACACTGGGTCAAGTGCTTTGCATCAATGACTTCATTCATTTCCCAAGTAACATGTGAAATATATATACGACCATAACTCCATTTACAAATGAAGAAAATCGACAGCTAGTAGGTTAGGATTTAAGCTCAAGCAGAATGATTATGGAACCCATGTAACTGACCAATAATACATGCTGCCTCCCAGTAAGTAACGGTTGAAATGAAATAGACGTATAAAGGGAAAAGTGTTTGCAGAACAAGCAGCAGTGTGTCTCCATCCATCTGTACTACTTTCTAGAAGAATCTCATCCATATAACTGTCCTAGGGACAAGATATAAAGTTAAATACAATGCAATTCTGGTACTCAGGATACTCACAGCCAAAGTGTGTGTGCGCGTGTGTGTATGAGGTGAAGCAGCAGGGGTAAGATGAGAAAAAAAAAAAACAAAAGCAAAAGCAAAAACAAAAAGGTAACACACTCTGAAAAGTATAAGAGAAGAAAAGCCAGTCTGCTTTGGGTGGGGCACACGGGGTTGCCTGTGGCAGGCAGGTGCTGAGTGAAGGTTTCTTTGAATAAGCCACTTTGGGCTGCAACCTAGGAGTCTGTGTGGGGCAGGGTCTGGGATCTAGGAGAGGTGGGGCTGAGTCAGGACTCCACGTGTATGTATACACCGCCTGTATGACCTTAGTTGCTTCAATCTTTGTTTCATTCTCTTCTCTGTAAAACAGAGATAATTCTCTTTCATACCATCTCCTTGAAGAGTTGTTAGGATTACATGATGTAATGTATGTACAGTAGTTCAAACACAGGTGCAGAATGGTAGGGGTTTACTGCTGGAGAGTGAATAAGGCAGAGGAGGGCAGAGAGCACCTGTGGAAGAGGCGGGAACACCAGCACAGGCAAGAGAGCAAAGTCAAGAGAGAGTCACTGCTGAGCGTCGTGTGGCCATGAGAGGGGGCAGCGGGGAGAGGCCAGGTTCAGCAAGCCTGGGGTTTGTTCTGAAGATGAGGAGGAGCTGGACTGGATTAGTAACAATAAAAGCCAATAACTGATATTTACTGTGTGCTAAGCTCGGTCCTGAGTTCTTTGCATTACCTCCTTTAATCCTTACAAGTCTAAGAGGTCCCGTTATTATCATCTTCCTTTTAAGGAGGAGCAGCCTGAGGCTCGGGATATCGAGTGGCTTGTCCCGAGGTCATGTGGCTAAAACACGGAGGAGCCAGTCTGCACCCAGGGTGTCTGGGCGCAATTCAGAGCACCCTAGTCTGGCCTCTCAAACGCTTACGGAAAACTTATATAACATATGTAAGTTATATAAGTCTCACAATCGTGAAACCAGGTTTTGGCAATGCACACGTTTAAGGCTGCATCGTCTACCAGTCTCCAAGAAGCCCAGACTTCTCAACACCGACTGGCGCTTGTTCCTTGTTAGGTGCCTCCCATGAGCTCTTAGGTGGCTGTCCATGCACTGCTCCCTGCGGAGGCTGTCAGGCTCACTGTTCACACTGACACGGGCCAGCACACTTTCTACAAAGGCTGGAGAGTAAATATTTCAGGCTTTGTGGGCTAGATGGCCTCTGTCAAAACTACACTACTACTGCAGTCCTGATGTGGCCAGAGGCGACCCACATGCAGAGGAGTGCCTGGGTCCCAATAAAACTTTATTTACAAACTCAGGCAGCCGGACAGAGTGGGTCATACTCTGCTAAACCCTGCTACTGACCAGTCTTGGCACAAGCTTCTAAAGTGCTCCACCAGCACAGACAGTGACTTGGTTAAAGCCACCAGCTACTTTTCCCTGAATGTCCCTGGGAACCAAGACAGGCTAGAGAGTAACAACAGGGAGGCACTGGCTACCCGAGGGGCTGGACATGGCCAGGAAGACAGGGAAGAGAAGCAAGGGACGGGAGGGGTTGGGTGTCAATTATTCAGGTGACCCCCCTCCCCGTGGCGCATGTGAGTTAGTCTTTTATGGCTAGCACCTCAAATTTAAACTGCCTTTGCAGAAATAATCCAACTTACACTGTTTTCAAGTAAAAGGTAAACACTCACTGTTCATCAATTTCAAAGCTCTGCATAAAGTTCTGAGGGTGCTCTGAATCTGCCATCCCACGGGACCACACAGAAGGTCCCCGTCTGTTTTCCCGTCACAGCATCTCGGCGGAAAGAGCAACGTATGCTCCCCCTGGTTGGGAGGACGCAGGGCGGTGGGCAGGATGCTGTGTCCTGCCTCCTCCTACCCTCCGCAGAGCACCGTCCTCAGCACTCCTCCCTGTAGCAGAAGGAAGACTTCTTCCCACTCACTGACCTCACAGCCCTTCACTTCCAGAGTACCTGATAACATCAGTGAGGTACTATGCTCTTTTTTGGCTCTTGCTTTTATTAAAAACAAACAAACTTATTCCACCGTTTGAATGCAAATGAAATTAATTCACAAATTCATGTTATGGCTCTGCTGCTAGTTTCCATCCTGCCTCAACACTTGATAAGTGAGTCATTTGGTAAGAAAGTTTATTCAGTGAAAACATATGTACCCTTTGCTTTCAAAGGAAATGTAACGACACTTTAATCGTGTTTTAGAAAGCAAGCATTTACATTGCAGACTATGCCCACAATGCAGTTTTATTAGAGGGGAAGGTTCCTGATTTTTTTCAATCCTGCTTATAGCTGGAGCAGAACGCTGCTCATACTTGGAACAGAGAAAGAAAACCGCCACCCCGGGTTCCTGCACCTTGGGTTTACTGGCCGGCAGGGGCTGTATTTTAATGAACATAAAGGAACGAAACAACTGAGATGTTTAGTTGCTGTGTATCTGATTCTGACTTCTATCTTTCTCATTCACTCTACGTACTAAAAAGAGAAGAGCTGTGTTCCAATAGCTTTGCTCAGGTCTGCAGCTGGTCTTCGTTTTACAGCAGGAAGCATTCCGCGGCCGTGCAGAGCGCGCATCAGGGCACAGCCGTGCACACCCGTACACGCGTGCCCGCACTTGTCCTCAGAAAGGCCCACTGAGCGCTGGGCTCCCAATCTATTTTCCCTCAATCAGCTGGGCTGATTCCATGAACTGGCACTCAAAAGCACATGTCAAGGGAATAGGCTCTAATTATAGAGGCCCCTATTTGGTAGAAGAAATACAAAGTCCCCTTTTCTTCTCCTTGAAACGTTAAAGCCTTTCCTCATTAAACTCACATGCCTGGATAAAAATGGTTTCTAAAGGCTTTAAATGGCTTAAGAGGCAGCAATGGATAAAGCACAGGCTCTAGAAGCTAGGTCTGAATACTGGTTCTGACACTTCCTAGGGGCGTGACCTTTGACAAGTTATTTAACCTCCCGGAACATCAGTTTTATTATGTAAAGTAACCATAATAATGGGGAATAGGTGGAAAGTGACGAGTACAGTGCCAACCACAGAATCACCTAATAAATGACAGCTGCGACCACCCCGCCACCAACAATCATAATGTTATCAATAATCATTAACATGATCTCTTTTCCATAATCCTTAAAAATGTATGTTAGGAGTGAAAAATGATTCATCCCCAACACTTTGCCTACTCGGTAACGTATCCTTCTCCCCAAAATAAACAAAAACCAGCTATGTAAGCCAAGCAAAATACGAGAGGAAAAGCCAGGAATGAGAAGTGCAATCTTATTTCCATGTTCCTCTAATAGATTAGTAATTTGCTGGCACCAGCTCTGACAGAAAACAGATGGATGGAGCATTAAGCACAATGGAGGCAGCAGACGCTGGGCCAGCCCACCTCAGCTGGACGGGTCCTGCAGCCAAGTCCGAGAGCCCACAGTTTTCAAGTGGGTTCATCTTGGCACACCAGCTTTGGAAAATTGGTCACCAAATGAATTCAGATTTCAACCCACCAGGAGTTGTATTTGAGCACCAGACAGAGGAAACAGGAGCTAGACCCCCTTCAAGTCACCATCATCATTTTAGGAGGATCACAGATAATTCTGTACCTGACTCTAGAATTTTAAAATCTGCTAGTTACAACGGATATTCCAAGCTTACTGCTTTTTTTTGAATTATTGAATGTTTCCACTTATTTTGCTTCTCAGTTTCAATCATTTAACGATTACTCGTGAACAACTGCTACATGC